TAAATGGGCTTGATGCATCAGTGCAAACGTAACTCTCAGTCTGCATTCAGGAGGTCTTGATTTCTTTCAGCTTCATCGGGTGGTATTTGAAACAGACTGCTTGGTCAGCTTTTTGCCATGCTTTTCAAGAACTAAATCATTGTTTTTATCAAGGCCTTGGCTTGAAGCCTCGAGTAGTGTATAACGGTAAAGAACTGAACTTGATACAGTGTTTACAGAACTATCCAACGGCACGATTAACCTCGCAGGCCTTGTGTGGTCAGCCTGAGCTCTTCAGGACTCCTGGGTGGACTGCCCCGAAGCACCTGTTGTTCCAGGTCTCCTCTAAGTCCCAGTTGTTGGTTAAAGAAAAATTAATTTCCTTTAGCTATACAGCCATCAGGAATGTGCAACAAAAACAGAGTTTTGATTAAGCTTCACAAGAAAAACATGTTTCTTTTGGTCTTAGAAGGAAATGTATGGCCTATGCATACATTCTTTTAACATCAAATAAGTTGTTATAATTACCAAAAATTGGGCAGTCCTTCAGAGCACAGATTTTCCACATAAGTGATGAACAACTAAATCTTTTTAACTCTTTCAGTGTTGTGTTATTACAACAGATACAAAAGGTACTTCATTTTACTTTGGATAATGAACCTTTATCTACTGAAAACTGGAGGACTACCAAGGCAGTCTGGGGCCCTAGAGCACATGTTCTCTGAAGAGACACTGACAAACTGGGCTTGTTTAGTCTGGTAAAAAAGAGGTCCAGAGACACTCTAACACTGCTTACAAATGTCTGAAGGGCAAACAAAGATGACAGACTAAAACTCTTCTTGGTCACATCAGTTGAGACAGCGAGGAACAGTGGCCACGAATTCTAGCTCGGGGCTGTTTGTCCTTATACCCAAATTCTGTCTCTTGCTTGTCAGGCTCAATGAAAACAGGAATTCGCTCTTTCCATTTTCAGCTATACTCTCCCTTTAGGCCATTAAAATAAAATGCTTTCAGAACACAAAAAAAATTTGCTGCTGTTCAGTGTCAGTTAATAAAGATGAGAGTATATGTAGGTACTAAAAAGGATTTTTCTGTGGATAGCATCCTCTGTGATCATCAGCCTTCTCCATGAACAGTCAGACCACTGTGCAAATCACATTTGAAAATGCATTGTGCATTAATTACAGTGCTCGTCTTTGCTCAAGACCTGTCAACGTGCTGCCTGATGTTAGGTGGTAATGCTTCTTTTCCTTGCTATGGTGTATTAAATATCAAAATATAATGTGCAGGACTGGTAAGAAGCTTTCTTCAAATGAGAAGAAACCTTGGGTTCAGTAAAACAAAATCCTAATGGGCTCTTCCAACTCATGGGAACTGTAAGCCAGCTCCCTGCAGATTAGAATTTGAGCATTTTGGCAGGGCAGTGGGAAGAGAATGCAAAATATCAGCTCTGTGGACAAACACAGAACTTCATTGTTTTGTGGTGCTTTTTAACAACCTCTTTCCAAAGCGCTTCATTCAGTACAGGCAGTGCGGGGGAAATACCAAATCAGTATAATTCTTATAAACTGTCAAGCATGATTAAAGACAAGCCAAAGGAGTTTGATCTCTGGCTTTAAAGGAACCATCGTAGTTTTGTGTATCACATCTGCATAATTTATACCAGTAGGACTAGACCTCTAAGTAACACTTCTGTACTCATGCAGACCAGGTGTCTGTAAGAGTGAGTTTATTTTCTGGATTTACATCTGCTTTAAAGCTATAAAGTACTCTGTCATTGCTGCTTTAGGTTTTCTTTGCAAACAGTTGTCCTAGAGGTGCTTGTGGATTTCTTCATTTATACCTGGTTATCTTCTCCCTTCCTAAAAGCTTGTAGGTTGTTAAAACAGTGTCACTGTAGTAATAGACTTAATAAAGAGTGTGTGTGTCCCCTCCCCATAGAATTAAAACTTTTAATGCAAGTAAGTGTTAAAACACTAGAAAAAAAGGCTTACTTACTGTGTGACAGAATCATAAAACAAATTCAAGTTGGAAGGGAGTCTGGAGTCGGCTGGTCCAAGCTCTGCTCAAAGCAGGGTTAGTTTCAAAGTTAGATCGGATTGCTCAGAGCTACATCTGGTTGAGTTTTCAAAATACCTTAGGAGAATGGTTCCAATGCCTCCCTGCACAGCCTGCTCCACTGCCTAACCTCCACTGTGAAGAATTTGTTCTTGATATCACTGTGAAGGAATTTTTCTTTCTAGTCAGAATTCTCCTTGTTGCTATTTGTGACTGCTGTCTTTCACCCTTTCACTGTGCACCTCCAAGAAGTGTTTGGCTCCTCCTTTTTTGTAACCCCTACTAGGTAGTGGAAGCCAGCAGGTGGGTCCCCCCAAGATTTCTCAAAGCTAAACAGTCCTAGTTCTCTCAGCCTTTTCTTGTTTAAGTTGTATGCTCCAGCTCCCAACCAGCTTAGTAGCCTTGCTCTAGAATATCTCCAGTCTGTCAATATCTCTGGTACTGTGAATACTCCAGAAGTGGCCTTGCAAGGACCAAATAGAGGAGAATTACCTCTTCCTGTGACTTGCTGGCCACACTCTGGCTCATGCAAGCCAAGATGTGGTTGGTCTTCCTTGTCCTGGCATGTACTGTCACAGGGTTATTCTGACCCACGTGTGGGTCTGTATTTGACTTTCCTAAACTTCCCAAAGTCAAGCCATTCCTTCAGTTTGCTGAGGCATGCCAGGACAGCAGCCCAGCTCTCCTGTCTGTCCCTGTGTCCCCTAACCTAGTGCCCCTCAGCAGCACGTCTGTCCCTCGTTGGAAAGCAGAGGAGAGCTGTGGATAAGTTATGAATTATCTATCAGAGAGCATCTTCTAAAAAGCATATTGAATGTTAGATAGCCACAAGATGCTGTGTGGGGTACTGAGTGCTCTCAGTGAGACTGGTGCAATGATCAAAATACAGCTTCTAAGTGCTAGGACTAGAGCTACTGGTTTTTTGGTTACTGCGTGACCTCCTCATGTGATGCATATGTACCCTAAACCTTTGTCTTTCTCCTGGTGCCCTTGCACTGTTTCCTTCTTCAGCGACCAGGACAGTGATGAACTGCTATGGCTAGTGTATGTTATTTTGACAACTGACTTTAAAAAGAAAGAAAAAGAAAAAAAAAAAGGCTTACGGTACTTTGAAACCAAAAATGATTCTTCTGTGAAATCTTGTGACATCGTGAACCAGGTGCTTTGTTTAATTTTGTAATAGCTTTGTACACTTTAATAGATGAAATACTTGCATGTTAAGTTCAAGGCAGGTATTGGATTGGAACATAATGATCCATTCTGCATTAATCAAGGAGCAGTTGTACACAGGGGTGCACGTTCCTAATATTAATCAGAGCTGTATTCCATGTGCAAGGAACCATGTGGACTTCATTCATCTTCTGTACTAGCGCTCACAGGAATGTGGCAGTCATAGTAAACTTAACATTGTTTTGCTTCTTGTGGTTTTGAATGAGTCTTTAATCAGGCCAAAATTGATGTGGCTTTATGAATCCAGTTGGGGAAACCATGCTTGGCTCCGTGCGAATTCAAGGAACTATCACAGTATTAAGATATGTCTGAGACAGTTGCTTCTGCTGTGTTTGTGGACAACAGTATTTCCTGTCATATATACCATATGGTTTCAGTTTTCCAGTCTGTTCCCCTAAATGCAATTGAGATATTTTAATATTGTTATTTAAGATCTGCTGTCTCTGAGGCATTTTTCACTTGACGTCTTAAAGAAAGCACTTGTTACCATCACCAAAAAAAAGTTGAATGAGTAAAGTGAAGGCAGAGTTAGGGGCACAATGTTAGGTTTAACTTGAGAAAATCTAGTAAAACCTTATATATATTTTGTGTTTGTAAGAGATAATGTACTCACAATTCAGAAATTAATTGTAGTGTAGCCCTCTTACTCTGTAATTCCTCAGAGTGCTGGACACAGTAGAACAGGTGGAGATTTGCTCTAAGAGGAGACTACATATCTGTGTAGGAGACCCATTGCTCAGCTGGGCTGTGTGTTGCATCATAGATTGAGAATCTTTGATGTTGCTCAACTCCATTTGCCCTGTCCAAGCAAGAGCCATTCTTACAGCTGCCTGGCCGTAATGACAAACTTTTTTTCACTTCAAAAATGGAGGTGATTCAAATGCTTTTCCTCCCTGAAGATCTGACTAACAGGGTTTCTTGCTTCTCTGCTGTTTTTGAAGTCATAGGTGGACTATTCAGCACATAGCCCAGGTGTATGAGTACCAGATTATTCATCTTCTAACGGGTGTAGTCTCTTACTGGTGCAATAAGAAGAGCAGTTTGTATAAGAATGGGTTTATTTCAACTACGTACTTGCTGCTGAAGAAATGCCCTTCCCAGGGAGACTCCAGCAGCTGGAATGTGAACCTGGGAAGATGGATTAGCTGTTAAAGAGGGACAGATAACCTGGGCAAGAGCAGGATAGTCAAAAGTGTATGGTTCAGGCAACTGGCACAAATTCCTGTGAAAAGCTTTCCTCCAGGCAATGCCACACTTATTATTCAAAGTTAAAAGTTGAAATGTTTTTATTTCAAAGCTGGGATTCAGCAGTTGAGTTCTAGTTCTGAAAGAGCAAAGGCCTTTGGATCCAGGGTTTTGATGTTGTCCATGGTGGTAGAGGCCACCTTGAAAGCTTGCCTTGGAACTCAGCTCCATCTTCTCCTCATTTCTCCCTTTCTCCATGTCACAGATTCTCTTTGGTGCGTTGAAGAGTCTCGAGTCAGTCACAAGTTCTTGATGGGAATACAGACTTTCCCAGCTCAGAGGCAGAGCTTGGGTTCAGGCCCATTTCTGGTTGTCTTTATGTTGGTTGAGCAGTAATTGACAAAGCCAGTCAGA